GGGGCGGCGGGGCGGCGGCGAAGACTCAGGCACTGCGACGTGCCTGTACGGCCGGAGACCTTCGAGTAAACAAGTCGCAAATGGGGCGGAGTGTCGCGCGTACACAAACATCCAAAAGGCTGCCTGCGCACGAGCGCTGTGCAGACAGTGGCACTTCCGCACTACTCTTTGGACCGGGCACGTCGTCAGGGGAGAGCTTGGAAGCTAAAGCCCCTCTCGAAATGAAACAAAAACACTCTCATTGTAAGCTCCTTCTAATGCTCATCCGTGTAGTGCGAAGTGTTACTGAAGTGTAAGTGTGCCAGAAACATAAAATAAATAGGAAAATTCAATCTTGTTATTGATGATTCTAAACCGTAACTATTTATTCGCTCAGTGTGATTGAAATCGACACCAGTGTGTCGAAGAGACCACGTCGAAAACTTATTTCGTTACCTGCTGTAATGCCGTAGTTATTAAATGTTATTGAGTGCCGAAATCAAGACGTGAGCTGGCACTTTTATTTGCACCGACGAACCGAGTGAAAAAATATAAACATAACACCCCTCGTTCTTCATCAGTCAAAAAAAAAGCTTAAAAATAACGATAAAGATACTTTTTTGCGATACTTATTGTATTACAAAATTATGTGAAATTACGTTAATTCATAAATAAATTATTAAATATATACAAAAAATAGAATTTTGCTGAAGTTGAATTGCTGGGAAATTCATGTTCTGCCTGCGTTCTACGCAGCAGAACCCCGAGCATTTGTCTTCGCAAATTTCCTGCTTTTCGTATATCTAATTACCTTTCTTATCAGGCACATAATTGCTTTCGTTAGCACCTGCCTATCAACCACGTCAGCATTTCTCGAAGGTTTCGACACAAGTAATCCCTTTTGTGGACGCCTCATTACTTATTTGCTTTCCACTGCCTTTCTATTCTGTTCTTCGGGGAGCGGAAATTATGAAATTCCTTCACGAAATTCCTTCACCTGTGTCCTGTCCACCGTTCACTTGGGAGGTTACTCATCCGGTGCGGAAGTCGGGTACCTTTTGGCTAGGTTGAGGACACACAAATGCCTGCAAACAGAATTTACCTCTATGAAATATTCAACGAAATGTACCCCAATGTTGTTATTTGTTGAACATAATATAGAAATTTTCAAGACATCGACTTATACATTTTTTTTACATTTTTTTTGTGTAGGCAGCATATTACACGAAATAGAAACTGCTTCATTCTAGTACACTTTTCTCAAAAACTTTTTTAAGATACACTGTTCCATTTTATATTCAACACACATAAACTACTAAATGTCATACATATTTTATTGATTGTAATTAAAAATATCACTAACAACTAGTTTTATTTTTGTTAACATTCCCCACTTTGTAAATCATAGTTTTAAAAGTGAAAATTGTTTCAATCTGAAACTTAACATCGAACAACCTGGCTCTGAACTGTGTGATACAGCACATACTACAAAGGACCGGTTCTTTGCCTGGGTAAACATTTAATGGTGGTGTGCGCTTAAAACTAGCAGAAATATTGAGACAAGTGATTAAATTACAAAAAATATCAGTAATAATTTTAATTTTCTATACCTTTCGAGGTTCTGGAGTTTCTGCAATTAAATTGTACAAATATCAATATTATCTTTAATTTTCTGTATGTTTCGAGATTCTGCACGCTTCTGACCATCAGTGCTACGGAGGGGCGAGGGTAACTGGAAGAGCTATGCATTTAAAAAGTAGAAGATTCGAAAAAGTCTCATATTGTGCATTACGCTTTAAGAAACATTACTGGCGTCAAGTAACACGAAATCATGGTTTTAAGAGTCTGGAGCGCACGTTTTGCACATTGTAACGTATCCAGTTAGGATTCAAAGATTAGTGGATTCAGGTTAGGATTCATTCATCAAAGTTATTATTTCTTATCAGCTTAATATGTGTTAGTCTCCTCCAGGGATTTCAGTATCCTGATTTTCTTCCGAGTTTTGGGTTATGCCATGTGCGATTTTCTGTCATCACTCATGGATTATTTCGTCACACACGATTAACACAATCCAACGAAACATTTAATAGAACGACGACCAATGGCTGTAAACTTTTCAGATGACAAATTCTCTGTGATGGTGAAACAGCTATACTGTAATGAAGTTTTATAAAAATTAATATCATTATGCAGTGGGCTCCTATAATCTAATAAGGGGGTTTAATCTAATACAACGCAGATAGGAAAAAACAAATGTTACCCAGAGGTAATTGTGAATGGAGGGAACAAATGGAGGTTAATATCGTACTCTCTTGTAGCTAGCAGGGTGTGAATTGGCAATTTTCTCCGGGGAGAGGGAGGCATTCAAAATTCCAGGTGGCATTCAAAATCTTAGGTGGGAACGAATCGAGTTATGGATGAGTGACTTTCTCGCCCGTATTTTTACGCAAAATTACCCGAAAAGTACTCAAATTTTCGAGAAATTGTACATGAACTTATTTCAAATAAGGAACTTATTTCATTAAGGGAAAAAATTTCTATCTTGAAACTTTAGTTGTAGGAAAATTCAAAAAAAAAATTGAGCTGTTTCAATTGTCGAAAAATCAGGGTTTTCAACGAACAAAACACCTACATCATTCTCTGAAACGTTTCTCACACTATCCAACAACAAAATTTAATCAAAAACAATTTTTTAGCCGTTTTTTCGAAAATTTGGAAAATATTCCCAAGGGCTTCATGTAAAGTGACCTCCAAAACCAAAATATCGGTTTCAAATTCGAGGGGTACGACATCAGCCAGATCGATTGGGGAATATCAATTTTGGAGAAAATCGAATGAACGGTTTAGCCGCTAGCGTTATTCACAGACGGACGGAGACGTTTTGCCGTCATTATATTTAGTATCAAGGACCCACAACACATGGATTCTGGTTACACCATGTTTTAGAGGATTTATTTTTCTGAATTACCCACTGGATTTATCTACTTGTTAGTAACCAGGGTCGTGTAATACGCGTTTTCTGCCGAAAATTCGCCGTTGTCCCGCGCAGCGTTACATAACTTTCTCTTTGCTCCGTAGTGAGGAAGTAAACGCTGAAACCTTTTTGTCGTGCGTAGACAATGCGCCCACGCACGCCCTCCCGCAGCAGCGCGCACGCACTTCCCAGGCCCCGCGCGGTCGGTGCACGCGCCCCTTGCGTGCCGAGGGCGCCGCGCGTGCGCTGCGACGATTTACAGCGTTTGCTCTGCGAATCCGCCGCCGCCGCCGCCCCCGCTGCCGTCTATTGTGCGCGCAGCTCTGTTTGCCTCCCCCTCTTCGCCCTCCCGCTGTCGACTTGCGCGCCGGGCGGAGATAGCTCAGAACCAGCGTGGCTGTTTGTCTCTGCAACGACTTTGAGCGGGAGGTCCTAGGCTGCGTCCCGAAGTCGGATTTGCGGCACGAGCTACTTGGCTATTTCAGTCATCATCGTCGACTGCAGGAGAGAGCTAGCGACTAGCTGCTCTGGTCGGTAGTACGGCTCTGGTCGGGTAATCTGACCGGTAGTAGTTTCTCTGCGACTGCCGGAGCAGTACACGCAAAAACGGGCCACGAATCGCGCCTTTTTTTTCGATTCTCTTCCTTGTCTTATTCTATCCCCTTAGACACACACATACACACACTTACATGGACTACACCACTTTACTTGTCGGAAGGCCAGTTGGGAGGTTAGAGCGTGTCCCGGCGGAGGTGGTGCAGTAGGGGGGAAATTCCCCGTAAGCCAACGTGTAGGTCGACACCGGAACTCACCATCCAAAGAGGGGGAAAACTCCGCTAGCTCCCGGGATAAAATATTCGCTAAACTAATGGGACTAATTACTATAGTAGTTTACATGCCCGGAAACATCAATCAATCGACTTCGCGCTCTCTTCGATTCCTGCGGCACAGAGGCCCTTGCGCGCGGCAGTCGAGGTCGAGGCGGGCAGGTTCTCACGGAGAACATATCAATACATTGGACAGTGCAGTTGCAAGTGTATCGGCAGTGAAGGATGACTATTGTTTAAAGTGCGGTAATGAGTGGATATTTGCGGAAGTTGGAAGAAACACTCACGCGTGCTTGGAAGTGGGAACGCCGAGTGGCGACAGTTTAACGTAGGACACGGCTTCTCCAATACAAGACGTGGAGGCAGGCTGCAGTGCCACTGGCGTTTCATTAGACAAGGGCCGATCGCGTCCGAGAACCCTCCCCTCGTCGGGTTGAGTAAAGCGGCGGGCTACACCGTCGCGACTGCCCGCTAGGAAGCGCTGAGGCATGGCACGCCACGATGGCCACCCACTTGAGCAGCCCAGTCTTACGATTTAGACTAGGGATTCCCATCTTTCTTTCAACGATCCGTTGAAGAATTGTTTGCTTCATCGCACCCCTCCCTCCCGTATGCTTCCTCTATAAACGCTTTAAAGATAAAAAATATAATTCACCAATATTCTCGTAAACTTCTCGATTATCAATAATAGAAATAGCTGAGTTACTAATCTTCCATTTAACGCAATGGTTAGGAAATGTTAGTAATTTTTTAAGAACTGGCCAAAATATTTCTCCAGTGCATGTTGTGGAGAGTGCATTTGTGCGTGATAGAGTATCGTTTGAATGCATAATTAAAATTTCATGGAGTTTTCCTAAGAATGAACCAAGGATACAAAAGAAGAGGAGCGAATTTGTAATTTATTAAAATGTTTTGCCTTTTGTGAAAACTATTAATCAATTTCATTGTATGTTTTTAATCAATGGGATGTTGATCACACTGATCAGGCGACGGTGCATGTTCGATTATTGACCCCCAATCGACCTCTTGATACAGACCTCTCAGACTCGGAAAAAAATCTTGGTCGTGCAAAAACATTCATTTCATCGACTTAAAATAAAAATAACTATTTATTTAACGCAATTATCTTTACCTACTCTTACCATAACTTTCGTGCATTCAGAGAGACTATGTTTCAAAGGAAGGAAAGTGCAATAGAAGAATAAAATTTTATTGTTTACAATAAGCTTCTACAATATTGAGGAAATTGTTGTAAATTGCCATTTTCATTCATTTAATTCCATTTGTTTCAGATTTTCAAATGCAGCAATTGGGTCGTAATGTTGGGAGAAGCATTTTTGAAATAAAGTACAGGGCTGAGAGCACACTTGGCGGACTTCCATTGATACGGAGATGAAAATATTCCATGAACAGGTATTATAATTAATGATAAACCCAGTTTCATGAATAATTTGGACGTTTTTCTTTTTTCCTCTTGAATTTATGTTCGTTCCTTGCCTTATTTATATGTGTTCCTGTTTCAGATGATATGAGAGCAGATCTTTGGGTGGAATCCGAGGCGATCCACAAACGGAAAGAAAATTTCCGTAAATTGCGAAATACAAATTACGATATAGTATATGGACAGACGACATGACATCACTGACAAAATTCTAAATATTTTGTTTATAAAGAAAAATAAGATATAAGTATATGTAGCTATGTAGTTCTCTTACGCTTGGGGTATTTTTTTATATCCAATGCTATCTTCTTTTATTGCGCCCTATATAAATTATATTTGCGGTATGTAATTCTAAGAGAAAATCGAGATAAGGATATGGGTAATGACTTTTCTACGGAACAAATATTTGCTGAGGTTGATACAAATCCTTTTTTTTTATATCTGTGACAAAATGCATACTTCCATGTTATGCTTTGCTGATGAAGTTATTTCATGAAGCAATACATGACTTAAATTATAATTTCAGTGTCCAAGAAAGTAAATAACTGCATACGTTTGGTGTTAAAATTAGATTATGTTGGGTAAATGTTCGCTCGAGTTAATCGTATTCTAGTTTTATTAGCTTAATTTATTTTATCACTGCATCATCGGTTATTTTACAAATGTAATTAAATTATTATTCAATGACTCTCAAATCAATTACGATTCTCGATAAAAACACACAAACTATTAATTCATTTTTTTTGTTTCGTCATTTGTCAAAGAATTTCACTCTAAAACTGTTAATACACAAACGTATTATTCCATAATGAATCTTCAATCAGGTGACACAACAAGAAACCATATCGTGTATAGATTAATGGAAAATTAAGTTACCCTGAAAAGCTCAATTACATATCTTCGAAAGAACCAAAAAATTAGAACGTTTCAATTATAAACAAATTGTGTGAACAAATTGCGTATTTCTGTTATAATTTACAATCTGCCATTGCAAATTACAAATTGTAATTTACAGTTCGCGTTGATTTTTCATTACTATACTCTTATTTTAACTTTAGCTCCACTTACGGGAGCCAATTTATAAGCTATTGCAACTATTTTATTCCTTCCGAGCATGGAAATACAGCACCTTTGGTAAGGAAGATCAAATGTTCTGAGTTCTAAATATAGCCACTAGAAAATTATAGAGTCGACAAATCAGAACTTTCGAATCGCGAGAATGTATTCTTTATTATTAAAATATAAATATAGTACAATAAATAACTGAGATGTGCATACATGTAAGTACTGCAGAAAAGAAAGTAAATTTACTTAAATAAGAAGGAAGAAACACCCTTCAAAGCAGTTTTGAAGTTGCTCGCAGTTCTTTACCATTATGGAAAGGGAGGCTTCTACTATTCGTATGTCTCCTACTAAGCAGGAATAAACTGCGTTTTGGCAAAGCACGGTCTCCTCCCTCAAAATTCTTTGTGGGATTTGCATTCTTTTCTCTTCCTCATTCTTTTTCTACTTCTTTCTTCCTCCGAGGACTGAAGTTTTTTGATTTGCCCATTGTTTAATTTTGCTCAGTTTCTTCAGTGAAATTCCTCAGATACAATTTGTGCCGACATGACGAATCTGTAACTCCGAATAGCCCTGTAGCAATGTCATTCAAAAGAATTTAGGCTATTCTATCAAACTTTTTCATTGCATTTTTCTTACGAATACTTGTCAGGAAGGAATAAAATAGATGCCAAGACTTATAAAATGACCCCCCATATTTTGCACACGATGACGGATGACTCTCTTTAAATATTAAAACAAATAATTAGATTAAACTTGTTGGTGGAGTGAACAGAGATTATACTTGAAACAAATAAATATCCCTCTCAAGTGTCAAAGTGAGAAAGAAATTGATAAATTAAGTTTAATAATTATACGAAAATATAAAACAAAAAAATAATATTTTTCAAAAATACTATTAGCACACAAACAGCTACTCTAGTCTAGCAACTAATGTTGAATTTCATAAACTTTTCGAATATTTTTATTCTTCAGAATTATTGTTTTGTTAGAAAATTAATTTCAGTTTGAATATGTCGATCCAAATCATTGGATTTCCTTCCTTAAGAAATATTTTCAATGTTCTTATCACCGATATGTGTCTTCTAATTTCGAAATCTGCTTTTATTTTGCTATGGTAAGTAGTCGGGTAGACTGTAGAAAAGAACAGCCTGCGAGTTCGGCTTCCGTTGCAAAGAATCTTTCCCAATGTGAACAACGCATACGGGAATTGCTGTTATCATGTAATCATCCGATCGATTTCGTTCAAAAAGATCTGCGAAGTTTCCCTAGAACGGTTACTCAAAGTTTTCAGTTTTAAAAACTCGTTCACTTTCCAGCCATCCCTTTCTTGCGACGTTGGCCGAGCCAGCAGTTCTTTGGTGCATGTGAAGGCGGGTGAAAATCCACTCCAAGTAAACAATCTCCCAATACTATGAATTCCACCCAATTAATCTGTCAGATGTCTAGGGCTCAATCTTGATACCAGAATAAATTGGAAAAATTAAATTACAGTAATATCACAGCAAGCCAAAATAAAAATAATTCAACTGAGGCCACTTCTAAACTCCAATAGTAAACTCTCATTAAACAATGCACTTAACAACCTTTATAAAACAATAATTAGACCCCTAATTATTTATACATGTCCCATCTCGATCAATGCCTCTAAAAAGAAAAATCAACAAATTACAAATCATCGAAAACTATTCCCTCAGACGACACTCATGCACCCTGGTACATCTCAAACGTTCAACTCCACAAAGAATTCAATTTACCCCTCATAATTCACAATATCGCGCTCCTATCTAATAACTTCTTCTCCAAAATTAACACAATAACCCGAACAAACCATTACGACCTAGCTACCACCTACCATCTCCCAACTAGAATAAAAAATATGTATCCATTAGATTCATTCCTCAGCATATTCTCAAAAATGAATTAATTCCATAGGTGCTCTGTGAGTTTCCTATTCGAGTCGTTAGCTGTAATTGTAATTAGAATATAAGTTTAATTGTAAGTCTGACATGTAATGTAGTCTATACTGAACTATGTACATTCATTCGAGAATAAATATGTATTTAAAGAAGGGAAGGAAAACGAAGAGAAGAAGAATCTGGGCGAAGGGAAGGGTCGAGGACGAAGGGCGCAGAGCAATCTATCCACGGCCCGTGCGGGGAAGAGAGCTATCCGTCGACAGTAAAGTGCGAGCCACTGTCATGGAGTTGCTCTCTTTACCGCCGGGTCGACTTCACCGACACCGCCTTCTGCCTCGCAGCGAGACATTTCCTGGCAAGAAACGGCCTGAAGAATGAGAGGGAAGAATCTTCCTGAAGAATGAAGGGAATCGTTGTCTTGGAGTGAACTCACTCGTGTATTTTTATCTTGTTGAATAAAGTTTTACGAGATATCTGCGGAGAAAAATCGATCATAACGTTTATTGACATTCGTTTTCCCAAACCTGTAATGCACATAGCTACAGCTTCCCTGAAATTTATGATTCTTCCTTCCTTCCTTCCTTCTCTCCTTCTTTACTGAATAACGAAAAAAGAAAATAATGATAATCAGGGCTGGATTCAAGCACTGTAGGGGGCCTCAATCATAAATATCATTTGGACTTCCTCAGAAAAAATCCTCCATATGTATTCAAAAAGCACTCATGATAATAAAATGGGGGGGGGGGCAAACATAAATATCATTTGGACTTCCACAGAAAAATCCTCCAGATGTATTCAAAGAGCACTCATGATAATAAAATAACTTTTTGTACGAATACAAATAAAAATTAACAAATTGCTTACAGAATTGAACATATATTACACGTACAAAAATATTTTATAGCAGTTTTTCGAATGTTTTATGTTTTGGAAAACGGGGTTTCCCATCAATAGGGCTCTCAAAGCAACGGCTTATTTTGCTTGTAGGTAAATAGGCTAATAATTAACAAAAACTCCACAATAGTACATCAGATTGGTCACAGTTGTGTTAAAAACTATTACGTTTAGTACAAACGTATTCTCTATTTTGTTATGATCATTTAAAATATTTTATATACATTTAATTTCTGATGTTCTGCGTGTTTCAAAGACAATCAAAAGGTGAATCTTAATTTAATTAACTATGTGAATATTTGTTGACCCAGTTGCACTGGGCATCAAGCTTACTTTCCAAGTAAGTCAGAGGCCACATGTAGGAACAGCACAAGCCACGTATGCATTCGTCACATTCGCGTTGAGTAAAAACATTAAACGTTGGTTTTGTGTCATCTCTGGTTCACTTGCTTTCTTTAATTTTTTGGAAAGTCCCTCCCTTGAAAAATATTTTCAATTAACAGCTCTATATAAGGTGACATTATCATGAACGGCCTTTCCTATCATCGTTTTCGAGTATCGGAAATGTTACAAATACTTAATATCTATTTTCATGGGCCAATTACGAAGTCAACAAACGCAATTATTATATCTCCTGCTCTTTACTCGTACAAATGTACACTTCTGCGTGACCCGTTCTACACTATCTTCTTACAGGAGACTTTTGGGTACCTATCAGACCTGCTCTTGACGTTTTTTCTCTCATGCCAAGTCCGTAAGACACTTCACAGTCTTGAATGCGCACACTTCTGTAATGGAGCGCGTTGGTGGCGAACATAGCGTAGTTTTACCTCAAACACTACCCAACGGATTTGATAGTCACAGACTGAATGCGACATTGTAGGGCTCTCGTATTCTTGAAAGCTTCTAAACCTTTCTAAACGTTTTTCGTGAATGTGACTTTTCATTTTGTATTAATCGTCCTAGAAACTGAATCATATCTACAGATCCGCTCACCTCGCGAGGGATGCATTTCCCATGGACTCATTCCTAGGAACTTTGGTTAGGCTTTCGGGGTCTTACTATTTGGTGTTCTAGGAACAGAATCTTAACACGGCCGTCTTCCTGTCTTCCCGGTGTTGCGTTAAAATGTGATGATAATGATAATAATAATAATAATAATAATAATAATAATAATAATAATAATAATAATAATAATAATAATGCTATGGTTACGTAGTCACGCCAGCTACATAGCTGGGTGGAATTCAGTTAGTCTGCAGGAGGATCCTCGCGGTCGGCTGCACTGCTCGGTGTTTTCCGAATATTCTCCGACAAAACCAAGAGAATACCAGAAAATATACCCAAACAAACGGATAATGGGCGATCTTTCCGCTCTCTCGTCTTTGTCTCGTCCTCTCCCCGTAAGCACCTACTGTTAGATGTCCTCTGCTGGAAAATTATTTGTTCCTGCTACGGACACATTCTTTTTCTAAGTGCCTAACTTATACTTTCCTCGCTTTGAAAAAATCGAATACGGAAATCGAAATTAAATTAATTGGAAAAGAAAACTTTCCTACGAACAGTGTTAGGATGCATTCCGACTGCTGGCTATGCGACGCTAGTCTTCGTTTCACTCGTTGATTGATTTCGGGCAAGTCAAAGGTTAATATCATTTATCCCGTAAGAGTAGTGTGTTTTTATCGCGGGAGGTAAATGTGATCTTTCCCCGCTGGATGCGAAATTCAGCGCCGACCTACCCGTCGACTTGCGGGGTTTCCCACAGCCAGGTATCACCCACCAGCGGGGCACCGCCCCAGCCGGGATAAGTTCCAAGTCCCCTCAGGATGTGCGGTAGTACAGTGCAAGTTCGTGTAATTTGTGTAAGTAAGGAGTGAGCATAGAACGAGAAAGAGGACGGAAAGATTGCGCGCGATCCGTAGCCTATTTGTTAGAATACTGCTCTGGCATTCGTCTGGTGTTGATCAGAGAAATGGAAAACTCCCTATCAGAGCAGCCGGTCGCAAGACTTCTCCAAACAGCAGCTGAACTCAGCTCATATTGCTAGTGTCGAAAATTCTGCCACAGTCGGCTCGAACCCTGGAACCTTCCGGTCAGACACTGTAGTGACATCAATTGATACCCTGAGACA